GGTAACGGCCGGGCCGCGCGGAGGTAACGGCCGTTGCGCTGAGGTAACGGCCGGGCCGCGCGGAGGTAACGGCCGTTGCGCTGAGGTAACGGCCGCCGCCACGCGCGGCCCCGCGGGGAGAGAGGCCAAAGCGGGAGCCCGCGCTCAGCGGCGGCCCCCTCGCGGACGGCCGGGATGACAAGGGAGCGCGGCGGCCTCCCGGACCCATGGCACCAGCTCCCTGTGTTCCCGAGAAGAGAAAAATAACCGTGTATTTCATGGCTCTAAACAGAAACGCAGGCAGGGGGATGCCAAGCAGTTGCAAAGCCAGGGTAGCCCCTCGCCTCAAAAGCCCGGAACAAGTCCTTTGAGAAAGGGCCCAAGGAGCAGCTGAACTTGTCTTCAGTGCCCTGTTCAGCCGCTTTAGGGCAAGTGTTGAGACACAGCCTTGGTGTCATAACACCATCTTCTGCATTTCATTTCTTTTTAAATCCTCCTGCCTACACAGACTGTGTTCAAGGCAGAGTTAAGCACACCATCTGTCCTTGCTTGTTAAGTACAGATCTGCACCCTGGAGCCTTTCGAAAGCGCGTTGTAACCAGGGAATGCTGAAACCTGAGGCAGCCGGTGTAGATATCAAGGGCTTTGGAGGCACTTCCTAGCTTCTGGTAGCCACCTTGCACTTCTACAACGGCCCTCACAAAGTAGCCACCACAAGAGGCAGGGACACCACTCTCTGGTCACTAGGGCTTTGCACTGTCTTCTCCAATGCTGCCAGTGACAGATTTTACCTGTTCCCCAGCTTTAGGTGGCTCCAAGGAACAGCCCTACATGTAGTACATTGAAGCCGTGTCATGCTGCGTTGACAAAAGACAGGTAAGCCTGGTCAGGTCAGCATGCAGCAGGGTCTGAGTGAAGGAAATTAACAGCCCTGTTGCATAAAAGACACCCAACTGCTTGCAGGCAACTTAGGCACCTAAAAAGGCAAATTAAATTGACCAACCACAAACATTCCTTATAAGAAAGGTAATAACCATTTCCTACGCTCTCCATTCACTTGCTACTTCACTGTCTTCTCTGTGGGTTTTGGACTGAATTTCACAGGGCTGGCAATGATTCTGTAGTGTGTCAAGGTTAATTAAAGCAGTCTTGAACATCTGGCTGCTAACTCAGACCAAGTCTGCTGTGCACACATAAATGTAATTCAAAGCCCATTGGAAGCAACAGAAGACTTTGATTTTCATGGATTTTTAGACTGAATTATCTTAAAACAGATTAGTCACAGGTGGTTGTGCTCAGGCAGTGGGAGGTAGACATATTCCAGCTTTGCCACAGCTGCAGAAAATCCATTGCCTGTCCTGAAAGAAAAGGAAGCTGCAGGAGACAGCAAAGCTTGTTAAAACTATGTCTTGGGGAGCCACCGCCATACTGCCAGTCTGAAATTACTTTTCTGTTTATGCACCCAATTAGCAAAATTTGTATTACTAAATAATACAGTTTTGCTAGTATACTGCGTGAGTGTTTTGCCATGCTGTAGGTCTGAACTTGAATTCATCCTCTCAAAGGGGTAATCAGTTCAGCTTATGCACCACAAGTACGACAACGTCCTCTGAGCCCCCAGGCTCCTGGTAAATGTTTGTGGGCACACTGAAGAAAGTTTCCTATTTTCTGAGACTGCCCAGGAACCAGCATCATTCAGGCTATTAGGGCTAGCAACCTTTGAAAGGAATTTAAAGCCAGTTGGCAATATGGGACAAGCATGTTCAGCTGGAGATAAGAAATGATTATAGATCTAAGATACAGAACTGAGCAATAAGTGAGGTGGACTCTGCTCCGTGGCTTCTTAACATTTTATGAGTGTTCTTCAGTGAGTTACTTCATCTTGTCTAGGTCCTTGTGTTCCTGTTTTGGACAACCTGCCTGTGAAAAGCACTGGAAAATTGTTAGAGCCTTCAGGTGGAAGCAGTGCATAGAATATTCAGGCCATTTCTTAAGGAGAGAAGAAAGATCACACAGTAAGACGACTGTTAAAAAGAATTCCTTTTCTTCACTGAAACTTGGATTAGATAACAAGATTCAAAAATGCAGGAAATGGAAAATACATTGTTCAGCTGAGATCATAAATGGCCTCATTTCAAAACAGATGGTCTCCATTTATCACTTCACAAAATTTGTGGACCTTCTGAATATCCAGAGATTGCTTAACATCGTCTACATACCCACAAATATTTGTGCTGTCCTAGAGGAAGGTCTGAAATTTCCCACATGATTTTATGCTGTTGACATTACAGCTTTTTTTAAGGGCAGCAGTTCTAAACACGGTGTAATCCACACATTTCTAGCAAAATGCATGTAAAAGGAAAATTGTAAAATATGGAAATATACAGTTCAGTGACTCCTGCATATGCAACATATAGGCTTCCCCTTTGCTTTTTTCTGTTGCTAACTTCTCTCTCAAGATCACAATAATAAAAGTTGCACACATTACACATGTATAATTAAATTAAATACACAAATGTCATCTTTCCAAAGATTGAATTGCATAACTATAACATATCAAGATTTTTCATTTAAATAGAACAAAATGCAATATATTTGCTCATAAAAATCAGTGGAACAAAAATTTCAAAGTTTCTACTTAAATTAGTTCTAGATGTACTGTTTATAGCAAGTGTATCTGCACTGCTGTAAATTTGCAATTTACAAATTAAGTTACAATTTAGAGTGTTACAGGAGTTTTCTACAATTCAGATATTTAAATGTAAATTGTACCCAGTGCCATGAACGATTATGAAAGACAGAAAATTAACTATTTTTAAAAGAAGCCAAAATAGCAAAATATAGTGATCTTCAAGTATAAATTTTGATGGACTTATAGGGGATTGATTTACTTTTTAATAAGTCCTAGTGGCTTGCATCTGCCATCAGGATGCTTGCAATAGTGCAAGTTACACTGGTCACAGCAATAAGGAGGAGGACAGAATTTGGCCCCAGTAAGTTACTTTTAAATTACTTTATTTGCAAAAAAATTCAACATCCAGATTTTAAGTGATTCTCTATGAACTCTCTAGAAAGACTGTAATGAAGGCTCAGAAGAGAGTTGCTGAACAAATAATTATGTGAGCAAAACAAATAAGAAACAGCTACAATTTCAGAAAATAATATTTTAAATCCTTAGGAATACTTTGAAAATTAATCATGCAGCAGAATATCTTGTAGGTTAGATGTAATACAATTTTAAGTAGCACAGCATATTCTTAAGCTGTCCTTTTAAAATTAGCAGGTAGAATTTTCAGTACTTTTGACTCATTTTTAATAGTCCTTTGAAGTCCTTCAATACCACAACGAGGAACAACGAGGAAAATGTGCTTTACCGTACTGCGTACTTGCAGTTCACCAAATAAACACAACAAGTTTCCAAGGCGACCTTAACTGCTGCTTTTCTTTACCAGTGTCATGTTCTGATTCAGAAAGCGTGCAGCAAAATGTTGTCTTTAAGGAATGCTAGAGTGAAAAGCAGAAAATACTCACTAGAACAAACACGTTCTTGCTTTTAAATGAGATTTTGTATGGATTTTCTACTGTGTTTGTGCACACAGGCCTCTTGTTGGCCTCTGATCAGTTTAGAGAACAAGATGAACACATATCTTGAGTACATTTGCTATTTCCTGTAAATTTATGAGTTCAAAGGTACCTAGTAATAGAACAGTCCCAAAGTACTAGGCACTCTGCTTAGGAAGGAAGCAGTGAGGAGTCATTTTAAACAGTTACACTGATGGCACCGTCACTTCTTGCAAGACTGCATCACAGCGAATCGCTGGGGACCATTAACTTGGTTACTAAACGCAGAAACCCTTTCCCATCAGCCAGGATCAACAGGCTGTGTTTCTCTGCCCTTACTGGCAGCCTGCATTTCTGGACTTTTGGATCAGTTGAAGGATCTTTTGGGGAAAGTTTGACGCTTTCCTCTAAATAAAGCAGCAAATGCTATATGAGTTTATGGATCCTTAGGGAAATTAGTTGTTATTCCGTAATTGCTCTTTGTTCTGAGGTTTTCCAAGTGTCTGACTTGGAATATCATATTTTCTAGCAATGCAGACTTCATGAAAGTCAGCGCAACTTCCTACAATTAAAATTTCTACAAGAGTTCTGTCCACAAAGAAAATCCTAAACTCCATATAAGCTTAGAAAAAGCTAGGAGAAATCCTAATATTCGGCAGAAGTACTTACACGAGCGCAGAGCTAATAGGCCCCTTCCCAAAGTGAAGCACTTAGGGAGTGAAGTTCCACTGAGCGACGTTCCTCAGCTCGGAACCTTTCCTTGGGATGCTTGACCCCTCAAGCTAAGAATCAGAAAATCTCTCTGCCTTCTCTCCCCTATATGTGCTTAATGCTCTTCCTCAGAGCAGGAACATGCTTTGTGCCTTAAAAACCAGTGCCTGGCCCATGGCCTGAGCCCTTCCATGGACCTGTGGGTTCGATGGGGACCGCACAAAGGGCTCTGGATTCGGTGCAAAGGCAGACTCCTGTCCATTCCTTTCTTCATTGCGTTGCTGGATCAGTCCTGCTGGATCGCTGCAATACCATCCGCTAACCTTCACTTGCTTGTATTACATTTTCTTTTAAATCTACGTTTTAAAATCTAGGCTAAATTAAGTTATTAAGCTAGGGTTTGTCTGTCTGCAGGTGGAGTTTGTAATAAAATGGGAGATGTTACCGATTTAAGGAGACTATCAGAAGAACAGACTGTTTTATTTCACAGTGATTGATGAAACTCTTTAGCTCATTATGTTCAATTTGCACTTCCAATGTCTTTGCATGAGTAATCAGAAGAGCATACTGGAAACTAAGCAGCACACATTAGAAGAATCAGTACCAAACAAGTGGACAGTGTATATTATTAGGAAAAAAAATGTCTTTACATAAAAAGCAGAACACTATAGTAAGATAGAAAGCTTCTAAAGAATGACCTAGGAAACATGAATTTTTTTTTTCTTCTAAATCATTTAAAAAAATCCCCCCACACAACACTGTGGACAGACCACACCTGATTAAATCAGAGGCCCATTAAACTCAAGTCAAAGTAAGAAAAATATTTTCCCTCCTTTGCAATTAAAATCTAAGAATTTATATTGATATAATAATGTTGGAAGTGTGTTTATACTACATTCTCTTACTCTTCCTTATTCCCATACAGTGCATTATAAGCTGAAATCAGTGATTAATTTTGGGATAAGGATTGTCATTTAGAGCTTCAACACATTCAAAGGATGGACAAGCAGGTTGGCAAAGTTGACTAAGATATGGAACAATTGTGATTTCCTATAGAGACCAGATGTAGAGGTGGGAGGTAGAGAAAGTGGATGAAAATCAAGATATGAGGACATGAAACAAGAAAGTTATCTTCCTAAAAATGAGGTCAGAAAAATAAACACATTCTAATTCATGCCCTTTTAGTATTTAGTACTGTCCATCAAGACTGGTAATCGCAGATTTTCCTCAACAAGCTGCACTGTTCTAGTCTGAATGTTCTTTTCAGACCCTCTCAAAGATACACACATATTAATTAGTGTGCACAACCCAAATATTGTTTTTTTTTCAATACACACTTTACATTCTTTAGTTTGCAAGGTATGTTTATAGACACTGCACCAGAGTGGATACTTGAGATCCTCAGGAAGTAGCTGGGTTTTGTTACCTCAACAAATAGAAGTTGAATCAACCACATTAGCTTAATGAGACACAGTTTTCGACATAAAAATGTATACAAAAGATTTCATTACTTTGTAACAAAATGTGTAAGTTTTTCTTATGCATTAAAGATTCTGAAAAAAAAAACAGACAAGTAAGCATTGAAGGAAGAAAATATGAAAGATTTCTGCCTGCCTTTGGAATAGCCATTGATTTTCCTGACTTAGAATGGTCTTTTCAAGGCTACTGATTACCAGGTAACCACGACTGAGCTTGATTCAAGATCTACTGAAATGAGAAGTGGGCACGAGGGGGGGAACAGCAGTAATAACCTTAGTGCCCTTCCTCACCACCACCTTCACTAAAGTGGATCTCGAATGAAGCTCATTTGTGGTTGCCTGGTAATACAAACTGAGTGGGCAGTCTTGTTTGGAAATAGGCCATTGAGGGATAATGCAAAGGCTTGTGTTATAGCTAAGAGGGAAGTGCTAACAACAACTGTTACCTCACATCTCACCCAATGCATTTTGTTGTAAGGAAAGTACTCCTTAATTTTCGTGCAGCAATCTGTTTTACACAGTCCAGCAACAGGGACTTACTTTGTTTTCTAAGGAGAAGAAAAGCAGAAGAATCTCAGAAAGGAGCTTTAAGTCCAGAGACGACATTCTGGTACTAAATTGCTAGGCTGCAAAAACAGTTTAACCAGAATGTTCACTATCACCGAACCTGCTACAGTAAATGAACTTTAGACCTGGAAAAATGCAACTGAGCACTGATTACTTTCTCTAATAGCTGATCAGATGTATTTGATTGCTTTATGATCTTTCAGCTTGAGCCAAAGACTGTTTCATACATAAGCAAGTTTTATGTGCGTGTCTGAGTGATTTAAACAAACACTCACCCAATCTGCACCAGGGCTTCCACCACCACATACACGTGTTCTTTACATGCTGCTTCTTCCATGCAGCCAAGCGGTGTCTTCAGCTGCTTTGCCTTCCTGGAAATGAAGACTTCAACATACATAAGCTTTTAAAGTCAGCCTAACCTGTGAAGAGATAGCTGAATGATTCATGAAGAAACTAGCTTTCAAGATGGGTGCACAGGTGCTAGGGAGACACATTCATACCTCACTTACATTCAATGGTGTTTTTTGTTCTTGTTTCTAAAGGAGTTATAGAAACAGGAAAACTTCTAAAGCACCGTCAATGTCCACCCCTTCCTGCTTTACTATAGTCTCTTGGACAAATTTTGACAAATGCCATGTTTGCTACTAAGCCAGCAGGCCACTGAAGTGGAGACTGATCTCAGAGTTCGGAAAAGGATTATGAGCCTCAACTCAGTAGAGGATTAAGATACCATCTTCTGCAGGACTCCTAGCAGAAGAGGGTACCACCAAGACATACCAGTTTCAGACTAGTTGCTGACAAATGCCTTCACACATATTTAAGTCTCCTGCAGAATACAGAAACCTTCCTGGTGATCAGAGTCAGGATTTGAGTTGTTCAGTACCCGACGTGAAATAAAGTCCTAACAAACTAACTCGAGAGAAGATATGCTCACGTGCCCTTGAAGACAAAAAGATGTCAATCCCCCAAGTGGCTTTTATGGTGAAGATTTCCAAGATTTCTTGTTTACCTTTTCTTATTTGTGTACTTAGTAATCAGGTGCAACAACAGCACCACATTTCAGATTTTATGGGGCCCCAAAATATCAACAAAATGGTGGTGATGGGAAACCACTACACTTATGAAGAGATTTAAAAAAAAAAATCAAAACTGCTCAAAACAAAGTGACCTAAAGAGTCATCTAAAATTTCATTTAGTTTGATCTATCATCACAGTGCTAAACGTATAGATAAAAGCCACTTCCTGGCTCTTTTCTTGTGTGCTTGACACAAACTTAAAAGCTTTTCTAGACCCAGTAAGGACACTTGAATTAATTCCTATGCATCTTAGAAGACTGTTCATTAAGCAACTTGCAGAGGATTCTCATGTTTGAGAATCTCAGAAAAACTACCCAACCTGCCTAACAAGAAGCCTCCAAAGAATTAATTGGGCTCAAAGAAAACTAGGAAATGGAGAAAGCTCAGATAGCACTTAAATGCCAGAGCTGTAGATGTATCAGAACTGCAGAGCTGATTTCAACTGAGGTACTTACACTGACACTGTATCTGAAGTGCTGGTAAATGACTCACAGGAAATAGTCAAGACACTAACATTTAGGGCACTGCAACTGGAAAACATTTTTAAGAAACTATTTATGATCTTGTGGAAAAACTACAAAATAACTAGAATATAAAACTATCAAATACTCCACTTTTAGGTCCCAGAAACACTGTTGCAACACAAAAAAATTTTTTCAAAACTGATCAATACTCATTGTGATAGTGAAATGTTTAATATATATATATATATCCTTCCCTTCTTAAATGCCCACCTTCGAATACTGATTGTTTTTGAAAGATTATCTTCTAGGATAATCAAGTTTATCATAAAAATTTAAACAACAGAGCTGCAAATTTGGAGGCAGCTACTGGCCTGTACATAGAACTATGTCCCCTCCAACGTGCGGGTTTCCTTGCATCACAGCTTGCCCGCCCCAAGGTGGAAGACTGGCAATTCCAAACAAGCAAGCAAGCAAAAAGACACGTTTCTTACCCCCATTTAACTGTAAATTTGAACTGTTATTAAAAGAGCCAAAACAAAGCATCATAATCTAACGTGCAACAACAAAGTATCATAATTTCATGTGCAACTGGGAGATTAAAATTACAGTTTGATTATTTTTGTTAATATTTACTAAACTACCACAAGAAGGACTCTAGGGATTGTCAGTATGTATGCCTCTCCCTACCAATTTATGTAGGGAAGAAAAATAACCAAAGTTAAGAATATACCCTAGTAAAATGAGCTCTACTTCAGGAACTATGGCAAAGATTCCAGCTAAAGGCAGTGAACATTTACGTTTATGTTAACGTTTGCAGAAGAGATTCTTCTAGAGCCTCTTTCTGCAACGCTCTGCTTGGAGCCCCAGCGTCAAACCACGGCTGCACTGCACCTGAAATGTTGGGCAACATGCCGGCTTGGGGCAGAGAGCAGAGCAAATCTTGCAGAAGTTTTGTATGCATCTTGCACACAAAAGCTAAAGAAGAAATACATTGTCTTTACATTCTTCCATTTACTCCTAAAAACATATATTCTGTGGGTTTTTTTTTTTTTTTTTTTTTTAAGAAGAAAAGAAGCCCACACATCAGACCTGGCCTCCTTGAACAAAATAAGCTCCAAAATTACACGTGGCTGGGGCTGGCAATCAGCTACCACAAGAGCGTTACGAAGCAGGCTGGGGTCTGTTCTTTCCATAGTGCTGCCAAGAGAAAAACAGGGTTAAGTGTCAAGAATGGTGATAAACTGCAGGAGTTAGATTAAACATTTATTTTTCATATATTCACAAAATCTTCACAAAAGTATTGAAACTCAAAAAGGAATTAGACTTGAGTCAAATACAGAGATGAAATGTACAAGACAAATGAGCAGGCAAACTAAAAGATCTTGAAAGTATTTTACTTCAGATTGAAAAACGAACAGTTCAACTGTTCTGTTTAAATAAAGATTTGCAAGATATACAGTATTTTATGAATACAATGCTGGTCTTTTGAGGCAATGTAAAATGCCTCAATTCTTCCTTCATGCCTTTTTTTTTTTTTCCTTTTTTTTTTTTTTTTTTCTTCTTTTAGAAAGATACTGTTTACCAAAAAGAAACTTGAGCAGTCCAGGAAAAGCTATTTTCCATTAAATTTATGAAAACCATAAATTGAGGCAAACCTAAGATTCCCAATGGAATCAAGATTATCTTCCCGCTACCACCACCTTAAAATTATCACATGCTTATTGGAACACTAATATCTGCACCCTAAGAGTACATTTGCTTTCAACAATGAGGGTGATTCTTTTAAAAACACTTCAGTGTGGTAAATGTGATACGGATCTTTGCAAGTATTAAGTTTTGGAACAGTTTTGCTAATAGCAGCTAACAATACTGGATTAATATAATTTATAAATAATTGTTCCCTAAGCGGTGAACATAAGTCTACACATTCACAATAATCTAAAACAAAATAAATACTGTGATTATGCATAATGTGGTACAACTTTTACTAGGTTCTATGAACAAAAGCTCAACATCTTGTTGATAAAATTAGCTGATCAACATGAATCTAAAATTAAAAAAAAAATTTGTCAAATTAACATCACTTTTAAGCTTAGTGTTTGAGTAACTGTTACGACTTTTCATATTTTTGGAATATATCTATTTTCCTTTTTGAAGTAAAACACTTTAACACATTGAAAATGTTTATTAATTTAAGTGATGACATCAGTTCCGGTCTTATCTTAGCATTATTTAACTTTAAAAATCATTGCACTCATTAGTGCCCACTAAAGGTCAAGTTGGTCTGTAGTACTCTGTAAATGCATATAAAAGATAATGTCTAAAAGTTAACAGTACTTTTTATAAAAGCATCATCTCCAGAAGAGCTGCATTGAATACAGCTCTGTATGAGGAACACAGACTCCTTCCTCTCTAAAGAAACGTGAAAAGTCAAAGCCACTTTACGCCGACCACTGACGTGTCCCGGCGTCTCTTCCCAACGGTACCTGCGGGTGTTACACGGCTCCCTGGCATCCACGGCATCCTAGACTCAGCGTGCGACGGAACTAGACAAATGGCAACTTTAAATGAATGGTAACTAGTTCAATGAAGAAATACTAGGAGATATGAAAGGTTTGGGTCTTTAAGGCAATACAAAATATAGTTCGTTATCTGAAGGTTTTTTTCTTTTTTAATAATTAAATGTAAATATAAAAATGCCTAAGAGGGGAGTGAGAAAAAATACTTTAATAGTAAAATTTACTTAAAGCTTTAACAGTTATCATCTCCTACAGGAGTTAGCAAAAATATAAAAGACAAAAAAAACCCAGACCTGAAAAGGGGAGGGAAGGCACAAACAAAGAGGCATGGGATTAAAGCAGCCCAGGAATGCAAACGTTTGTAACAAACCAAGTCCTTCTGTCTGTCTGTTTTTAACTGAAAAACAAAACAAAGAGAAACCACCACCACCCCAACAAAAAAAACCCCAAGTGGCTTATATTAAATAAAAAAGGGGGGGGCAGGAGATGACACTACTAAGAGGAGGAAGAGAGGGGTGCAACTGTAAAACCCCATTGCCTGAAATGATGGCACTCTAGAAAACAAAGGTGAAGGTTACATCTCAGAGATGACAAGCTCAGTGTCTACACAAAGTACATGTACACTTTATACAAATGAAAAGCTTCATTTGCCACCATCAACTTTTCTTTCAGAGGAACAACTTTTGCAGATCAAATGTTCTATTAAATCTTTTAAATGCCAAAAAAGAAATTCTGAGCAATATAACTAGTAATGTCTCTTTATATCGATGTTAAGATGACAATTCAGATTATTTTCCAAACTAATCCTGAGAAAAATTTATGTTTACAATTTAAACAGTAATGTTATGTAAAAAGTATTAACAAATCCACTATTACAAATGTCAGTTTTCCTATATGGTCATCTATATATACACAATAAAATGGTAAGTATATGCAAAAATAATAAAAAAATCATGCACAAATTACTTTCACCTTTAAAGGCTGGGTTTCCCTCAAAATACAATTCTTTGTTTTTTTCCTATATTTTTATTTGTTTGTTACCACCCCCTAGACACACTGAGTACTACCCCTACAGGTCAGCATGAGCTGATGGGAGATACATTTATTTTACATTCAAGCTTTTATATCCTAAATGACCCTGTTGTAGCATATGACTTATCAAATGAGCAGCCTTTGTCCTCTTTTTGTCTTTTTTTCTTTTTTTTCCCTTTTTTCTCCTTTTTTTCTTTTTTTTTTCTTTTTCTTTTTTTTTTTTTTTTCCTCTTTTTTTTTGCAGTGATCAATCTTCATGATCCGTTCCGTGGCGAGCTGGGAAAAAAAATGCAGTTGCTAATCAATGTCTGAACAGTCTGAAGCTCCGGAAGAGATCCAAGGAGTCACTATCAAACTATCCTGTAGCATGAGATCATTGCACACAGAAGAACAGTCATAAAATAGGCAACTATCTACAAAGGTCTGACAGGGTCGCATCCCTCTTGTGTTTCCTCTTTTTGCCATGGAAATACTGATGGTGTGACTTGCTGCCTTGATGTTGTTTGTTTGAGACTGAGGTACCATGGCTTGAGTTTGTTGGACCTTGGAAGCCTTTGTTAGAGGAGCGAAATAACCGTGTGGATCCATGCTGTAAGGAGAAGGGAACACAGTAAGTCGGGAGTGCCAAGGAGGAAGCAGGCAACTAGTTCTGTATTATTGTGCAAGCAAAAAGGAGCAATGACTGTACAATGCCTTAGAGAAACAGAAGTCCATAACCCAAAAGGAGACACATTGAAGTCTGCCCAAATCACATCTGTGCAAAATATGGTCAACGTTCCTCTAGTACCAGGTCTAACTTTACACTACAGCTTTTCAAAGACTTGAAGAGTATCTCCAAATGGGCACATTCACATTCCAGTACCTCTCAACAGAGGACTACCCCTGCTCAGTACGTATGAGCACAGAGTAACTGTGAGGCCTGATCTGCAAACACTGTCAATACCAGCTACAGATGGACAGCAAGTTGGAGGCAGGAAATTTTCCAGGAACTAGTGTGCAGAAATAATTTATCGGAAAATATCAGGCTATCTTTCACATATTAAAGCTGTCCTGAGGTTGAAACAAGTAATAATATTACATATTATGAATATAAGTGAATGAACAGTATTATATGCTGGATTATATAATAATAATAAAAAACAGTTTATATCCAGTTGTTCAGCTTGACTTGTCAAAGCATTCCTCAACATGAGAAATGCCTTAACGGCATACAGTCCTCACCACTTGTATCTGCCCTGAGGGAAAATGATAGGGAATTTTACGCACCTCCATCTCCCTTCATCAAATGCTCTTCAAAAAGTATCACAAGTTAACACAGCAGCCAGTCTAGTCTCAGTACACATTTCTGCTAAATATTTTTCACTAACCATAAGCAAGACTTGCTAGCACTGGTATATTTTGCAGTAAAGACCAGACTGAAATGATTTTTTGCACAGAGGAATTTTACACAACACAGTATGCTGCTGACAAACCTACATTTCCCAGATCAAATAAATGGCAATGCAACTTTGTTTTAAGTCTGTGAAAACCATTGTTAAAAAATTCTCTGTAAGCCTAACAGAGAATCAGGTCATTTTAGACATAATTTGTGCTCCAAGCTTTCTAATGGGCTAAAGGGGAAGAGAAAAATAGAGCGTTTTCCTCCCAGAAAAAGCTACCCTTCTATAGAAGGCATTAATATATTAATATATTCTACATAGCTGGGTTTTATTTTTTGATTGTTTGCTTGCTTTTTACAGTTCACAAACCTGCGATTTGTTCGTGTTGCTGGATGTACTGGCTGTTTGGCTATTTTGTGTTTTCCCACTTGATTGGGAGGATTCCAGTGATACTTCTTGTGACCCCACTCTGTTTGTGGTAGACTGACGACAACTCAATTGTTTAGAGGTTTTGCAAGGTGTTCCATCAGAATCCTTCAGGAAAATTTAAAGTATTAGTGATTTCTTTTTTCCTTAGAAATAAGTGAGTTTTTCTTAAAGTTAAATCCAACAATGGAGTGAACTTAAATTAAAATGCCTTTATTTTATTAGATATCAAAACTTTTTCAATCCAGAATTCTTCCCAAATAAACAGATAAAAAAAAAGGTATTGATGCATGTTCTCATTTGGGGATTTATCCTTTATTTGTTCATTTTAAAATAGAATTTCCATTCAAACAAATGTTCACAGGGAATTTTGTGCTGTAAGTTTTTGTTCTTGCTGTTTTTAATATACAGGGCTTAGCACTACACGTCTTTTTTGAAAGACAGTTTTCCCAGAGATGGCTAAGCAAGTTCGTATTTACTGTACTCACTTTCTACATGTGTTGTGTCAGAGAATACACTGCAATTTACATACAAAATTGCATAAGAGATATGCACTTATGCAAATCAGGATTCTGGATAAAAAACACACTCGAATTCCGAGCTTTCCAAATGTATTCCCTGCCAATATGTGTAAGGGAAAAACATAACAAAAGTCCAATACTTACTACATCACTAGAGCTGGACAACGTAGATGATGATGATGATAAGGGACCTGATGAAGAATTTGAAGAATGTTTACTAAGTGTTTCTGAAGTTTTATTTCTAGGTTTTCCCAGTGCTTCATTCTCTTCAGAGAGATTATTGTTGCATTTGTCCAGCTGCTGCGTATCTACTATCAAGGTTACTCCGTTACCTATCAAAACCAAACCAGAAACATCAGCACACATTAACAGCTAAAATGCTGCACTCATACATATACAGTCAGCTATTACACACCTATCAGAGCCAGCATCACAAGGACACACACTTGTGCACGTATCTGCTTGCCATGTGTGCACACACGCATGCATGTGTCTACTGTGTGCAGCGAGCACCATGCAGAGGAGGTGGCAGTTTCATGGCAGGGTCCCTTGTACACTGACAATCAGCCTGCACTAGCTACAGCTCGAGAAGGAAATTAAAGAATGGGGAGGGTGGAGGGCAGCAACAGAGCTCTGAGGTGCTGCAGAAAACCATTTCATGCCATAGCAACTATCGAGCTTTAAATACTGCTCCTGTGCATTCAGTACTCAGTAGCTCCCAGTCTTCTGCTGGAGTTGCTGGGATCAAAAGAACTCCTGCTTAAGTCTGGTTATTTTGCATGATGCCCTAAATTGAATGACTGCTTCTTAGGAAAATGAAAGTAATAAAAACAATCAGGGCTTAAATCTAAACCAGATCTGGAAGATGACGGCTGTAGCTACCACCACTATGTTCCTAATAGGGTTACTTTTATCACGCTCCTCTGTTTCACAGGACATGTGAGCACTAGGCGTTAACACTTCTTTCTATCCCCAGAAACTGTTATTCATATAAATGACAGTACTTTTTTTTTTTTCTTTTTTTCTTTTTTAAACACTTTAGAAAGCAAATATCAAGTCAGATCAGCAGCTCAGGACATGACTAACGTGTACTGAACTGGCTTTCGGGAAAATGTATGTAACATATTATGTACATTCATATGTGGAGTTTAATATATACATTGTATCAGGCAGAAAGCATTACTGTGGAAATTGGGAGGACTGAGCTGTGGCTGCTTGCCATTACCGGTGCCCATAGCAAAAGTTTGCAGGCTAATAAAACAAAACAGTCCAGGAGCACGTCCCGTTTACAGGGAATGTGGGAAGCAACTTGCTGACAAGGCTCTGGAAACAAACAGACAAAAACCAACACAGCACAAACAGTGGGCGGCTGTGTCATCTTCTCCGACTAAGCTTTGACAAGAGTATAAAATTAATCATAAGCCAGCCCTCTTTACAGATCTCTATACTAAATCTATAACCCTAAAAGTGATAGAAAAAAGTATGGTATAGTCCTTTCATTCTGCTACAACTCTAAGTTGTTCTGGATGAAGGCACACCGAGTGCATTACTTCAGCACTTACCCTAAAAGTAAAGTTAAAATGCATGCATCACTTGTGGGTCAAAACCAGCAGCAAGAAAATCTACACATCCCAAAAAATGCAGAGCTTCCCCCTGTGCAGCCACACTCAGTCACATCTTACCGTTGCACGAAGACTCAGTCCTACTTTGCATTCCCCACTGCTTTGATATCCAGTCTCTGTACGTCGCAACTTCTTGTGTCACTCTAATTATTCTACCTAATATACTGTAAATCAGAACAGACAAAAATTAGCTTTAAGGACACAATAAAATATACAATGAATATCTGAAATGTAGACTTATAAAATTTACCTTTCAGTTTCGTTGTTAGGATAATATTTAGCTATTGGGGAAACTGCATGGCTCAAAACAACATAGGCATAATCAAAAGCCTGTTTCACTTGCATGGCACCATATGAACTCCTCCCAACATCATTACCTTAAAATAAGAATACAATTAGACATAATAAAACTGAGACTATGGTTATTTTCAGACAGGGGATAGGTTTTTTTTTTTTAAATTGCTCTTAAGTCCCAAATGATTGCAGTCATATCTTGTAGGATACAAAAACATTACTGAAGCATAAGTATATGAAAGAGCTTAGAAGAGCTATAGATATTTACATTACCCAAGTCCAGGTAAAAGTGCAATACATGAAAAAGCAGGTACTGTACACATTACAAATAAAACTACTATTCTGGATGGCATTTTCAAATAAGTTATCAATAAATTTTGCCATAAACAACATTTCATATTCTATTTTAAGAGCAATCCATGTATACCAAAGTTCAACCTTAACAGAAGTGCAGCAATGAAATCACATCTACATGACCTTATAAAAACCAAGCCAGCAGAGCTTTCGTGCGTATGTGTATTATAAGGCGCAACAGTGATACAGACAGGTGCTACCCTGAAAGGTTAAAGCACATATACTTGTGTACATCCAGGCCCCACTCCTGCATCCTTACTGCTGCTCTCAGAGCAGACATTAAAGCAGTTTGGCACACCCTGAGTGCAGCAAAGGCACACTCTTGGATGGCACTGTAACTGCTGCTAGGAATTCTAGATTAATTCCTTTTAAACTACTCTTTGGTTTAACTCCTTTGCATTAAGCCTTTCTCCAACTTCTTACTTATTCAGTATGTTAAATCTTGGAGTACGGGGATACCTGGCTGTAACGGATCCTCAATATACAGCATTGATGGTCTATAGCCATCCAGCATGCTTTTTTGTACTTCATCTTTGGCAACATAAGAACCACCATCCTTTATTCGGATTCCAGTCTTCAAATAATTGAAGTGACGTCCATATAGTTCAAAAAATTCTATTAAAAGAACACCATAGTTGGCATTGGGCATGCAGGCATCTTCCCTGGGATGCAGCTATTAAGAAGAGAGTGGAAGAAAAAAGAAGATAACATTTGCATAGAAGTCCAGGTTTCAAGAGCCTTTTAAATCCTTTTCTGTTAACTTTTTACATTCTTTGCTATTTCACAGCAAGCATATCTAAAATAGTGATTTTTCTTAATAAAGCAGTTCTGCATACTTAAAAGACTAGCATCAGCAAAATGTTTACAAACTAATCATCTCCTATCAATATGGCAGGCAATGATCAATGTTTTCATATTTATAACTTTAGGATGAGTAAGCGAACTTATAAGTACTAATCACAGGGTTTGCTTAAAAAAAGCAAAAACGAGAATTCCAGAATCAATCTGAACTTCACAAATCTAGGTTTGAATAAAAATATCATTTTAAATTGCACAGCTATCTAAATGATGCTCTCTACTGTTAAGTATGTGGCCGAAAAGATCATGAACCGGTTTGTAATTGTTATCAAACTTGCCTGGATATCAGATCAGTTTTTGCAAAAAGAGTTGGGGATTTTCTCACAAACCCATATGCCTGCTGCATCTATTTGCTTTGTTCTCATCAGACAAGGTAAATAATGCTCAGCATGCACTGAGCTCCAATGCAGAGCTTAAACTTTAAAATACTAAATACTAGAGAAGTACATATATTAACACGCATACACGCAGTTATGCGATGAAATTTAGTGCAACAAAACACAGTTGATAAAGAAGAAAACAATTAGCTATTTTGCAGTTTTCATTCTCCCAGTATAGCACAGATTAATCTCATGCACTTTATTCATTTCGTTTACCTGAAGGAAACTGACAGCCATTAAAAACAGACTGTAAGAACCAATTCCACCTGTGAACACCTCATTAAGGTCCCTCTGCAACAGGAACTGTTTCAAGACTAAAACTAGATAAGGTAATACAGGATATTTCTGAAAAAGAAAAAGAGGAAAAGCAGAGGTGTTAGCACAGTAATACTAAAAAGCACACTGCAGACAGCCATCCGTCCCAAAATTAAGTACAGTTCTATACCACTGATTTTAGTAACTGATTTAGAGGAGATCTGCCTGCGATCAAGATCTCTTCAACTGTGTGACAAACAAACAATGGAAAAAATTACTAATTCAGTTCCTAAAAGGAAGGCAATTTTATTTGAATTCATAAATATACTTGCTTTTCACATACTAAAAATGAAGGAAAAACTATGAAGATACCCAAACAGCTGAGACTTTCCCAAAACAACTGAGATTTTTTTCATGCAAATAATCACACTTGAGGTGCTCTCCTTCCTAATAACTACACTCAGAAGATGCTTCAAGACAGTCACTACTTACCATACAGGTTTGTCCCCCTGGGCTCCCCAGTAGATGTGCACGGGGCACACAGGCAGAGGATGGGAAGGGTTTGGACAGCAGTGGGTCCTGGGGCTACTCCTGCCTCTGTACCCACCCATCAATACAGAGCTAAAGAAGTTTGGTGGCACCAGAGAGGAGGTGGGATCACAGTATCCATGATTACAAGAGATCAAGGGAGAAAGAAGAATTTCTCCAAGAATTGGGCTATCCAAACCTTATCCCAGGCAGCAAAAAGGGCTGGTAGTACTTTGGCCCTACTTGACCAAAGATCACAAGTTTGCCTTTCTAAACTATTACGGTCTTACATTCACAGCGTGGTATGCTGGGTATAAAAATATACCAAAATCCGGAGACCGGATTCTCCTCAGGTGTCTGCAAACCCTTAATTAAGGCCTCAGTTGCCTCAGACTTCCTGAATAACTCAAAGAGGAAGAAACATTTCTTAAAGCACAAAACTTGAAAACCCAGCCAAAGATGTCAAGTGAGACAAAGACCCAAGAGAACTGCCCAAGGCTGCTTGGACACGGTGCAGCTGGGCAGCCTTGGCCTGGGCTGCCACCGAAACAGACAGACAGACAGAAGAGCCGCCACGTGAGGAGCCTGCAATAGTACCCAGGCTACACCTACAGATGACTCTCTGAACAACAAACTATTAAGTCTTGGTTAATTGGCCTTTGTATGCTGAAATAGTATTTACAATAGAGCAATATAATTCCTGAAACAATACTGCACCAATGCATAGCATCACTGATTTTAGGTTCAAGGAACCTGTTCTAAGAACACAGCATTCAAGACTGGTGTTCGTGTATTTTTTCCTTTGCCGTTGTATCATTCATCTTCTTTACATGTACCTTCTGCATACATTTTACTATCTTCATGCCCTATAAAAAATATATTTAAAGACTAAGAACTTACAATTGTATGGCAAAAAATAGCACAGTGAGTCAATCTCTATCTGTAGTGAGAATGCAGTCCAAATAAATCTAATTCATCTCTAATCCTATTAAAGTGTGGCCTAACCTTGATAAAATCTTTGATGAGCTGGGCTGCTTTAACCCCATTCTGCACATTAAAGCTGATATCAACTTTTACTTCAGTGAAGGAATCTGTCAGTTTAATAATAGGTACCTGTCAAAAGAGACAGAAATCAAGTCAACACACGTTTCCAAGACACTCTTACTTTCATTAATAATATGCACCAGTAAAATTGAATTTTTTTTTTTTATGGATTTATAGAAAGGGGGTAGATAAACAGAGCTCTTACCTATTTAAGAACTCTCTCCTTGTCAGTGTTTATATAAACTGTGCTTTTTCAGTTAATAAAAGTTATTTTCAATTTACAATACTGTTTAACAAAATGCAACACTTCAGCTGCAAAGTGACTTATTTTACATTGTTTTTAGTGCCAGTTTCTGGTGTAAAGTATAGTTGCAGTGGAAAAACAAACGCCAGAGGGAGACAAATACTTCAGAAATAAAGATATCTTGATACAAACTACAGATATTGTTATGAGAACAAAACATACACTGATTCCTTATCAAAACCGCATTAATTTCCACATTAAATCTCTCTAGTAACAATAGCTATCAGTTAGACTTGTCTAAATCCCGGTAGTCCTAAGTGCTATAACAATTAACTTTTTCACAAAGGCAGAAAAGTATAGTGGAATTAAGCCTATCCTGCAAGAAATACCACTGTATTTTATACATGACTGTACTTGTACATGTACGTACATGTATGCTGTGCACCCAAGATTTTCCTAATGGAAGACATGCTTCCATTAAAGTTGCATCAATTATTTCAACTGCAAGAAAACCATGACTAAAATAGACTACTCTAGCCTGAATGTACATTCAAAGTAGTTTTTGCTTATGAAAATTCTTCTGTTTAACTGATATCTTTCCCGGACTACAAATTTAACTTAGAACAGTAAGAGTACCCTCTTTCCCCAAACTTACAGTTGCTTTATCTAAAACCTTCACTGAATTTTCATCTGCAACATTGTGCTTTCTAAGAGCTTCTTCCAGGGTCCAAAGAGGTAACGTCTCCCATTTTCCAAATACAACTAAGTCAATATCACTGAAATGGAAAGAAAAATAGGAATATTCAAATTAAAAAAAAATACACACTTATAGACAACACACTTCCACAGATAATGAGAAAGGTGATGGAATACAGCTCAACCAAACAATGTCTTCTTATTTCTTAGGCTGGCATGGTGGTAGGGAAACCCTTACACTCTGGCATACATGAGACATTTCAGATTACAAAGAGGAAGGGACAGACGTACATACAGATCAACTGGGTTGCCAGAGGCAGAGGTTCATCTCCTCCGGCCATGCTGCCAGCACAAAGTGAACTTTTAATCACCTCCTTAGGGCTGCATTAATTTAACAATTTGCCACCTAGAAGCAAAGTCCTCATCACCCTTCCCACCGTCAGCTCCTGTCTTCTCCCTCCTCCAAGGTCTGTTATTTGTCTAACACACAGTAAAGCAGTTGAAAATTCTGGAAAAACCCTCTCCTCGCTAGAACATCAAGAAAATAAAGCCAAAAAAGCCAACTTCTGGGGCTAATTCCCCACCATGTTACTGCTTGGGGCTGGTTTTCTGGGCAGGGAGTGCCCCAGCATTGGCACATGGCCAGTGGCTGGCGGGTAGTACCCAGGGAGCAGGAAAGAGAAACTACAGGTCTGGCAAGGATGACTTCAGGGAGCAACTGATGACTTCAGGGAGCAACCGGCTGCTAATGACACCAAAGCACCTGAGCAACTTCACTCTAGCCCAGCTCAAGCAAGGAGCTCTCCCTCCCTCTGCCTTTCTCCTACCAGACTCCCATGCCTCACTGCACTATGGAGGTACCTCAGCCCTTATCTCAAGGCCTAAACTCAAATTCAAAGCATGACTGGCGGCCCAACTGAACCAGCCTTCTTTGCTGTCATGATCCCAACTGAACCAGCCTTCTTCACCGTCGTGATCCTGAGCTCCTCCTTCTTGCCCCTCTGACTTTTTCCCCTCAACTTGCCCCTGCTTGGCCAGGGAGTGCAAAGGAAGCCAGCACGACCCTATGGTCACACTACAGGCTACTTCAGCAGCATGGAAAACTGGATGGTATAAAAACATCAAAAAAAATCCACTTTTCAGGTGGATTTTGCAGGGGTGCCTCTTCTCCAACAGCACAGCTTTCACAACCTCGAAGCGCCCAGCTGCCCCAGCACCACGTCTGTCACCGCGAGCCGCAGGGAGCAGCGGCCGAGGTGGCCACGGCGGCGCCAACAGGGCCGCGGCGCCGCCGCTCCCCAGGCCGCCCGAGGAGCACGAGCGGCGCCCGCCGCTCCTCACCCGCCTACGCCAACCGTGCGGACCCCGCAGGAGGGGAGAACTTCCCTGCACACCGAGAACTCAAAGCGCAGCTCTTATCACCTTGGGAACACGTGTTACCTGCGAGATAACACTGAGATCCAGCAGCTGAACAAGCGCGTATCCAAATCTTCAACATCAGCTTAAGTAAAAGGATATTAGACAAATTCTAACACAGAGTAACAGAATTAGAAACACGGGGTAGGTCTTTCTAAATTCAAGATCCTGAAATCTAGATTAGCTATACAGTTTTACTGAAGAGCGGGGGAAAAACAGGACAAAGGGAAGCTCTGTTAGAAGGTAATGGCCAGTTAGTAACAAGTCCGTGAATTTGGGTTGATTTTAAAGTTTGACTAGTACTGCCACGGGAAAGGGTTTTTTGTAAGTTTGTGCATGTTTGCTTGTTTTAATCTTTAAAACATTAAAGAACTGTAGTTATCAGTCACATAAATAACAGCATCTCTCTCATTAACACCATCAAAAAGTTAATAAAACATATTTAAAATAACAAAAAAAGGCAAAGGACACTTGTAAAAAGCTAATATGTATTTGTAGATGAGACTTTACTTGAGACTTTCCAGAAAAACACTCAGCTATTCAGTGTTGCAAGTCCTTAGATAAGAAACTGTCCATACAGAATCTTTGATCATCTTATAGATGTTTTCTTTTCAAAAGGAGATGAAACTTTCACTGACAGTCAGTAATAGGTATTAATTCCCCAGGCTCTCAAAGAATACCTTGGAATAGCTACAAAATTGAATTCAATTGTTAACCTCAGTATTCTACTATATCAATGGATTTATCCCCCGAAGTCACTTAAATCTTGTTATTCTATTTCATTATCAGTAATTAAAAATCTTAAAGAACTTAAAAATCTCTAAAATTTCAGCATCATTCAGGTATGACCTTTCTTTATGAAAACTAGTAATGAATTTTGAACATAGAGGTTGGCTATTGTATAGGTTTCACAGAAGAAAATTGAGGGAACAAAACAGAAGTTTATATGTAATCACAGAAGTTTATATGTAATCTATGTATACTATTTAACTTCATTACTTGTATTAGCATTAATAAGATAACACTAAATATTTTGATTTAATCTTGTGTGGGAATGATGAAATTTAGCTTTTCCTTTAAGGTCAGCCTCAACCAGTTTGGGTTCAGTCATTTAATGAATGCTAAAAAAGAAAATAAGCCTTTTGTGATAATGCAATAATTCAAATATTTAACATTCACAACCCTATACAGACATCTGTATCATAGTTAATAGTGTTAATTATTATATTTCCATATATTTGGGAGAATATTAATAGCTTAACACTTTCTTAATTTAACAAGTAAACACACAATAACACAAATACTAGGAGATAAATCACTGCAAGGGTATCTTCCATCTTTTTCTCTTACAGAATTTACATTGCAAAACTACTAACCTTGTAGGTAAATATAAACCAGTTTTAAAACTTCCAAATATCTGCACCTGAAAAAACCAAGAACAGGATATCAGAAAATGTCACCAAAAACACTCTTATCAAATAGCTAATAAAGGTTGACCATTGCTTCCCTCCATTGGTAGACTTTGGTATTGCTAACATGAAAATCACGCACTCCTTTCTGTAAGTATTTTAAGTAAGATTTTAAGTAAGATTAAGTTAAGCAAGATTAAGTACTGTTAAGTAAGTACTGTTACTGTAAGTACTGTTAAGTAAGATTTTTGTCTCTTTATACCATATTAATCTTCCTGGTTATTTCCTGTGAAAGTATGGAAATAACTTTAATAACTACACTGATTTTTCTATTGCAATCCTCTTTCTAATACAAGAAATTTCACAGAACCAGATCTGGCATAAAACTGTAGAACATAAGGTTTTACAATACTGAAGAATGACAGAACATAAGAAAACAGTAATCGTTCAAATTATTATTTTTAATTTTTTTTTTTTTTTGCTTTCATGTCTCCAACTGTAAACTTCACTTTTTAAGGCATTTTTTGAGAACATTTGTATACTTTCACATTTGTAAAATGTAAAATTACATTATTTCAAATGTGTAGTAATTTTTAGCCAGAGAGTCTTCCAATTCCGATGCGTTTCCTGGAGCCACTGAACAGAGGAAGATATTCTGCACAAGTCAGCCTCATACACTACCTCAGTTTCCACTGATTTATTTAGAAAGCGACCCACTTCTTACACTTTTCTCTTTGGAGACAGCAAAAGGAGGAAGAGAAAATGAAGCTGTTCTGCAAATAAGTGTCTAGATACTTTAATACAGGCTCTAAGCAGCAGCATGAGGCCTCCCTCTTGGTTACTTTATGCATTTTACATGCTCCAACAAAAAACACACTTGCAGCAAATTTAATTTCAAAAGTTCATTGCTTCTCACACTAAAAAATGCCACAGAAAAAGCCATCAATATTTTACTAGATTTTGAAAAAAAATCATAAAATTTTGAAAAAACTATAAAACAATAAAAACAGCAAAGAACACAATAACAATAATAATAATCATAATAATAATAACAACCATTTTAATCCACAACAATAATAAAGACATCTTCTGTCAAACTCTATTTTGATTCAGCTAAATCATGATTTATTCCCCCATCAAAAATGTCTTGAAAGCGCTTTTGCACAATAAAACAAACACTGCTCAGGAATTCAGAGAAATCCAAATATGCTTTCACACTATCAAAAATAAGTGTTCAACAGAACAGCAAAAAAAGCCTTTATTGAATAAACAGCCCTGAAAGTATTCATAAACTTACTGATACAACATATATGACCTCTTCTGAAAGGAATGAGACAACATCTGCTATTATACAATAAACTGGAGTGTGAGAACTACTGAATTATTATAAAAGGAATCCACACCCACTCTTCAATCCCTCTCTGATCAAATCTGGAGAGATGGAGGAGTGGGGAAAACAGAATGAAAATTGCTGAAGGTTTTGATTTATTATCTGATCAAAGCATAGGTCATTGGAACTCTGCAATTATTTACATCTTCAAAAATATAAGATTCAGGATACTATTACATCATTAAAAAATGTGAAAAAACAGTTTTTTTGTGATATGCTAAGCATTGCCATTTACATTTTTAGCTTCGTAGCTAGAGATGTATGTTTGCACTCATAGGAAAACTTAATACTTCATAGTACTATATAATAGACTACTGCTATTGCTGCATGTTAGAATTAGTACTTATCCTATATGTTGGCAAATCTGTTCATGGCGTAGTCTAAAGTTCCTGAAGGAGCCTTAATTATGGCACGTCTCCAAATAGGTCCTCACTATGCACACCAGGTCTTGAAAACTCACTCAAGCTTCCTAAGCCCTTGCTACCAAAATCCCCTCAATCAAAACAATACCCTACCCATAGCCAATTTAAATTCCTCTTTCCTTTACACAATTAAGTTAAAGCCTTAAATATTCTCTAGTTTGTCGATACTATTTCATAATATTTTTGTAACTAAAGTACAATATGCAATATTCAGACACGAAGCATTTCAAATGTAACATGCAGGTAATTGCACAGTGGAATGTATGTTCAATACAAATTTTAATACTTAACTGCTCATATATCTTTGACTTAAAATGTTTCAATTTAGCATTTGGGGTTGTTCAGTTTAAGCATAATTAAAGCCTTTTTTATGGCCAGAGCCTTGCTGATGCCAAGAACATTTCTCACTTACTAGGAATGTTTCCTTCTAAGCACATTCCCCTTGAGTAAGAGAGCAAATGACACAACTACACAATTGCTAACTTCTATAAATAAAGTAGCAGTTTAGGCTACCTAGTTTTACTCCCCTTCATCTGCTTTTTCTCAGCCTTTTCATAAGCGGAACAAGAAAAAAAAAGTATACGTACACACACACACACACACTACACACAATTCAGTTTGTCTCACTAGGCCTGATTCACTTTTCACAGTATCCTATTTTTAACAGCATGCGTATGTCTTAAATTTGAGTGCTTTTGTGAGAAACTGAAATAAATGTGTTAAGTTTAATTTCAAAGTTTATTTGCTGCATCTAAGAATCAAAATGAGCAGCTTAAACATTAACTTATCACTGCGCACGACAGCTAAAGCTAAGGACATTGGACTGAATACCACTCCACCTTCTCAGAGCACATTCTTAAATCTCAAAAGTAGCTAAACCGGCACTAACTTTGAAAAGGTTAGTGATTAACTCAAAAGACTAAAAGATTACAACAAAAAAACTGTTCAAGTCGAACACAGTGGATCAGATCCCCAAATAGTTCTGTAAGGTAAGTATTAGAAAAACAACACTACAGATTGTAACCAGGCAGAAGGATGTACAAGTGGAGAATTCTTCCCCTATACTTTTCAACTTCACACAAAATACAGACTTAGGGGAGCAGTCACTGCCTTGAGAAAAGGAAGCTGGGATGTTCTTACTCTCTGTATTTCGAAGCACAGTGAAGAAAGAGGGTGATGGTAGTTTTAATTGGCACTAACTGAAAAGTGAAACCTCACTTTCCAACTCTTGATACATCTTCTAAGTGATGTTGCAGCTAAGCCCAGCAGTCAACTGCTCATGCCTGTGCCTGCTGAAGCACATTTGACTTGCTTGCCAGGACTCCCAAACCTTTTTGCTGGAAAACTGCTCCTCCAAAGTTCAGTTCTCAGCCTGCCCTGCCACTTGGGACTATGCAACCCCAAGCACAAGATTTCTCCCATACGTTTGCTGGACTTCACAACGTTTCAGTTCACTTCTCCAGTTTGCTGAGCCTGAGCCGTGGCCAAACACTCCACCGTGTCAGCAGCTCTCCCCAGCCTGGGGTCATTCATTAACTTCCCAAGGTTCTGCCTCAGCATCCGGTTTGCTAAGGAAGATGTGAAACGGCATCAGCCCTGGCACTGGGAATTGGGAATTGCTGCTGAAAGTCTGACTGGCAGCTGGATACAGCTGTTGAACACTTGCCTTGAGCCCAGCAGACGAGACAGGTTTTGTCCCCCTCCGCAGTTCACCTACCCAGGCTCTATCCCTTGCTGATGCTATGGGATGCTATCCTGGCAGGCTGTCAACTGAATTTTGTAATGGGTTTTTGTAGACCCTTGGGCAAAGAAATAAAATGTATATTTGAATAAGAAAAAAAGATGAGGATTTGTAACTTGTTTCCTCTTAAAAAGGTTATGGTTACAGAAAAACATTTTTAAAGCTAAACAAAGAGTTCTCGGAGGCCCAAAGACTATGGTGGGAGGGGAGAAAGGCAATTTTTATTTAATAAAAGATCAATATTCAAAATCTAGTACTTATGGATTGTGCCTTACAAATACTTAGAATGTATATATCTCAAAGTCCTTGTGTCCCATACAGAGCGTTAGTGGTAAAGAAAGATCTCATGGTACTAAGTCCATTCACCCCCAAATGCAACACACACGCATCCAGGAAACACGGATACCCTATTCAGGCTGAAGCAATCAGTTATTTTGGTGAAATCCTACCACAAGCCTTTGGCAGGGTCTACCACACTAAGGACTATTTTGCACTTGCACTGCTCCCAAATTACACCCTGTCACACCAGCACCTTGTTATTCCCGCTCTTAAGTGGGGCCTACTCTGCTTTCCCTGGGTTAGGAGAGCTCCATAAGACATCTGCGATAGCGTAAAGACTCTGACACAGCCCACATTGAAAGGCTATTGCTTTTCCTTAGAGATCAAGTGATTAGCTTAAGTGTTAACTGCACCTACCCTTTATAGCTGTACAAAGGGGGCGTTTGAGAGGAGTGCGCCTCTTTCCATTTAGTATCATTAATACTTTATCCACAACAAGTTAATACATATACAACGATATACATTGATATACTCTATACAACTCAACACACATAGCTTCTGTAGCATTCTGGCAGTTATAATGTGCCAATTCCTTAACATATGTTCAAAAAAGCAGACTAAGAAGAAACAAACAGTGGGTTAAAGTTAGCCATTCAAAACACTATCTTTTATCGTGACAGGGTCAAAGATCACTCCTGATACTCTTGAGCTATGTTATTCTAGAAATGAGGATCACCTCACTCATTTGACCAGAAAACTTTTTTTTTTTTTTTTTTTTTTTGGGAACCTGGAAGTATTTTCATTACTCAGTGTTCATAAACCAAGCTGCACAGAATATTGTTTTTATATTTTAACAGCTAGAAGAATATCCTACTCACGTCTGCATTAGGCCAGAGCTCTTTTATAACATTTTCTATCCTGTTCACCACTTCCATCCGCATTCTCTCTTCTTCAGGTCTGGGAGACATATACTTATAAAAGTCAATAATTTCTTCATGGAGTCTAAAGAGGAAAAAAGAAGGATGAGTCAAAAAGACAGAAAAGAAAGAGAAACAAGGCAACAAAATAGCAACTACTGTAGCATCATTTTTAGGTTCCAAGTTAATTATTAAGTAGCAATGTAATTTTTGTAGCAATGTAATTACATGCTACTGAAGAGTAGCATGTAATTTTTAAAAAATATTCTCACTCATTAACATTTCAGATCCATTTCCCAAAGCTAAATAGTGTTCAATATTATAGAGTATAGAGATCAATATTAGAACTAATACAGTTCAATATTATAATATATTTGCTAAAAAAAATGTGGAAGCAAAATCAAATCCAAGTGCCTTCAATTCATACTCTGAGACACACTATGTATTTTTACATCAGCATTGTGCAAAAGTATTTCAATCTTCTACTAAGAATGCAGCTGTAAGCTCAAAGTGCACACAAGCTTAAACAGCATTTCAGCCAACGCTTTCCAGTCAGCCCTTTGGCACCAGTCAGGTAGTTTCAGGCATCAGTCTCTATTCGGTTATCAGACTTTTAAAAAGATGTTAATGATTGTGCCAATACTAGAGCTGGAAGAACTGCTTCCTTCACTGTTTCAGAGACAACGAACACTCTTAAATACGTGTTCTCTCCACATAACAAGAAAATATGTAATACATATGCAGCGGTGCTTAAAACAAAGTGACTGACAGACAGTTGACCAATACATCTGAGATGCAAGTTTACCAAATTACACAGGCTTCTCAGAGGCTGTAAGTTATGCTTGCATCACCACGGTTATTACAGTTAAAAAGGTCTCTACACTGTGCCAAAAAACACTATTTTTCTGTATCATCATATACACACCACCAGGAGAAAAAAAAAAAGATGCAATCCTTTAATTCCTGCAAGTTTAAGTGGAATTTTGGTACAGAAGAGCTAAATTAATTTCATTTTTTCTTGCAGTGACCATTACAGTAACAGGTATTTATTTTCAGCAAAAATGTGTTGTTTTCAGTTAACAAGTCCAAATGCATCTTGCCTTAAATCTCTGAGGAATGATCAAAACAGCAATTTATTATGGGTAAATCCTTAGGTAAGATATGCAATCCCACCGCACACACACTTAAATACACTGTTAATAACTGAAAGTTGTACACAGTATCAAAATACATTAAAATATCTGAAGTTATCCTTAACAGAGTCAAGAGTACAACACAACTCAAGCCGGCTGCTTTATGTTCTCTAATACTGCAGCATGATGAGCACCACAAACTTCCTTCGCTAAGGGACTGAAGAATAAAATATTTACATTACTTCTTAGTGAGCACTTATTGGAATTCCACTCCCCTACTTAGGGGAGCAGCCGTGGAGGGCATGCAGCGGAAGGCAACGGTCCCCACGGGCTCTGGGCAGCTGCTGCAGAGAGAGCAGCTCCACCAAAGGGTCTGTTCCAGATGCCCACTTAGCTGGGCTAAGCCAGCCTTTAGAGCAGCTCTGCCTCCTCTCATGTCTAGATGCCCCAGCCCACCCCTGCATGCACCAAAGCAGCCAGGTGACACCTTCCCCCTCCCTCCCCACCTCACTGCACACTGGTGCGACCTGCGCTCACACACACTGTTCCTGGGCACTGCAAGGATGTCTGATGCTGCAGCTGTAAAATTCCTACTGATAAACGCTGTTTGCAGCACTTATTTTGATGTTGCTAGGAAATTTGTAACCCCCTCCTACTGCTGCTTTCTTGCTGCTCTTTGAAGTTTACAGCCTGGGGTTAACATACACATTCCAAAATACTACCGCCATCCCTTATACAGGTAATCAACTCCTTATCTTTTGGGTTTTCAGTGATGTCCTGTTCTTCAAGCTATACTTTTACTCAGCACTACCACTGAACTACACTGTGTTGGTGCTTAAACAGAGACAACTTTCTTTACTGCTGCCCTCCTTTCACAGCAATTCAACTCAGAGGAGAAGTGTGTGATAAAGGCCAAGTCAGGCTCTTCAGCAGCCACGTGCCCTCCCCTGTCCCCACTGCCAGCCACACACACTGAATCGCTAATGTAGTTCCTGCAGTGCTTGGCCATTAAGGTAGCATTCAAAAGCAGCAGCAAGAGGAGGAAAACAGGCAGAAAAAAAAAGTCAAACCCCAGAAAACACCTTAAAAATAGTAATGTAGTCAACCAGGAGAGAGGTTGGGACAACCAGGCTGGGCGATAACCCAAGTCTTTTTATGTCTCGGAAGTTCTGTACTTGCATTGTGGACTGCACTGGGGGCTCTAACCAAGCACCAGCATAAATTCTGTTCAACATTGCTGGTTACGCTCACAGCACAGATGTGATCAGCTCTCCTTCTAGCCTAAAAGTCTAACAGCTCCCACGCTTCCTCCCCAAGGGACGCACGAGGCTTCTTTTCCCCAGAAGGGATCTTGGACAAAACAGGACCAGGAGCATGAGCTCCCGGACGCGGAGCAAGGCCCTCGCAGCTCCCTGCGCAGGTTTCCTGCTCTGTTAATCCCGGCAGACATCGCTGAGATCCTACTGTATCCGCTGGCGCTTTGTTAGAACCACCTTCGATAATCAGATGCTGCCTGAACCCGAGGTCATCATTTTTCTAAGCTTCAGTATCCACTATGTATGTTCGGATCTCTTTCAACAGAATCATTCTTACTCTTAAGACAGCACCATAAAGCCTTAAGGCAAATACAAGAAGCTATGCAATCTTCCATTATAGCTGCCTGAACTTCACTAAACTGTGGATAGAAACAAAAATAAACTTTCTTCATTACAGAAGTGTCCCTTTAAGACTATTACTGAAAATGCAGAAGGAAATGCACAAACATAGCTCAATTTCATCGGCTCCAGCACTCTACAGCGTTGCACATTAAGCACCACAGCTAAAGCAGACAGTTGTAAAGGCTGAAGGCTGCACAGGCTGTCCCTGTAACTGCATTTCCCTGCCCAGTACCAAGTGCTGCCAAGAAGCAGAACGGTTCACTGGAAAGCCAAGGCAAATACCTGCAGCTATATGCACATTTCGCAGCAATACAACACAGCTTAGTAACATGACTCTTAATTAACGCAGACAACTTCAGTTGTATTGAAAATTAAAACTCAAGGTTATTCTCTGTCTTAATCAACATTTTAGTTGTGTTTCTCAAAACAATTTGTTCGGATTAACAGAGTCTGTTTACAAGAGCCTCTGGTGTATTCTGTATTTTTAGCCAAAATGGAGATCAAAGAGAACCGGAAGTTATTTTTGGCATCTTAACACTATTTTATTATTTAATGCCACTACATTCATTAGTTGTTTTAAATAAAAGTCTTTTAAGAGGAGACTTGTTTTTGCAATGAAATTACACTGTAAAAAACCTGACTTCGTTATCTAGAGATATTTTGTCTTTACAATCATTGATTCCATTCACGTGTATTTCCAGGAATCATAACACTAGAAAATCTTTTACACATGCTCTGAATATGTTTCAAAACAGTGGCAGCTGCAAAATCTCCTACCACAAAAGGACATTTTCAAGTCTTGCAAGCTAAGTTCTGTCATTAGAAAATACAACAAAAGTATTACTCGGAGATTAAGAATAAATGTATAGAAAACAGAAACCACTACATTTAGAGGACCGTAATGTTCATTTCATTATTTGACACAGACAATGAAGAATCTTTAAGAAATAAAGATGGTCCCAAAAGTGAAGATTGCAGGAAAAGAAACTCCCCATCCTGTTCAAGCCATTCAGGTCAAAAACCTCAACTTTTGTGTCAGCACAAGTACTACACAACCTGCTACGCTTCTCACTTGCTTTGATCACACCTTGCTTTATTTGTAACACCACTTGTGTGCTCTGGACTGTTAAACCTGGACTCCTCAAACAAGTCTATCTATATCCAAGCCACTGCTGCTCAGGAGGATGAATCTTATTGCCCCTTGCCAATCAACTCAAAATTAACCATGAGCGCACCAGACCTCCTTCTTTGCTTGCACATGCACACAGACCGACAGACACATGGACAGTCACAAACACTTGACATTACACTTGTGTTACCGGAAATAAAAACCAGTAGAACTTATTATTTCTGTAAACCCAGATCTGGAACTAAAATAAGGTTGTTTTCACCCTTGCCAAGCACAACGGACACTGAGATAAAGAGCTGCTGATTCCTTATCACCGCAGGTGTGTACAGAAAAGCAGAAACGCTTGTCCCTGCACGCTAACACACAGCTTCTCCTAAGCAGGGAAATCGCCTCTCCTTGAGGAGCTTCCTTCTCCAGCGTTCTGGAATTCTGTCATTCTTCCACCCTTCTCTGGCTCTTCAATTTCCATTTCGCAGGAGGAGTTACGCAGACACACACGCTCTGATTTCTTTCAGAAGGGAGTTACCCACAGCTGCTGCTCCTACTACTAAGAACAACTGGATTATACAGCTCGCCAGCCCATCCCAACAAGCCCCCTCTGCCTTAGGCATGTACATGCTTTATTTGTAACAAAATTACTGAAGATAATTTAAAACAAGGGGTATTTGCCATAAACACATACAAAGTTACTGAGCCAATTCCCTAGTGCTGATTTGCTACACTTTATTCTTTACCAAGATTTTCTGAAGAAATTCATCAGAATTTCATCTGGAAGGCCAGTATTGTACAGAACAAGAGAAAAAACTCTCGACTTGAAGCTTCCAAAGCTTTCTGCTAAGAAAGAGCGAGTACTGTGGTGGCAACTATAAAAACAGAATTATGGCAGGAATTTCTGACACCTAAGAAGTTATGAACTGAACAAAACTTGCCCCTTTTGTATTTGAGAGCTCTTTGGTCCTGAAGGGGATTCTGACAAACTATGGAAAGGAAGGATGCAGAAGCCTGACTCCCTCATCCCACCCCTGCTTCTTTTTTAGATTTTAGAAAGAACACGGTGCTTCTACAAGATTGGGGAATCCAGCAGCTTCCCAAACTCACCTTCCATTTTAGCAAATTTTAAACAAATCTCCCAAGAGCTTAATGAAATCATTTCCAAAT